GGTCCCTTATTAGATTGGCGCTAGAAGGAGGGCCCAAGCCTTGCACCTCGGTCGAGCAAACTCGCTCCCGAGCCTTGCACCTTGGCTCCCCTACGGGAGGGAGCACTGATAAGGCCATTTAGTTCCACATTGGTTGAGGAGTATGGGAACCAAGGGCTCATAAGTCTGCCAGGTCTCCCTTACCCTCAGAGGCGCCTTTTGAAGTTCACATGCTCCGAAAGGACAAAACCGTGCGGGTATGCCCATCACCCAGAGCAGATAATTCCTCGCGATCCTATGGGCTGCACCAATGGCCAACCGACCAAATGGTCCCTTATCAGTATTCAATACTGTTTCATTGTCAACAGTTGGGTATAATTTATTTTCTCTAAGGAATTACAAAGAACAAAAATGACAAAGCTTCTCGAAGTATATTATGTAATAGTTTCTAGCTTATGACAGAACATTTTTAGGTCTTCTTTAATAGGAAACACAACAAAAAAATTGATGATATCTAAGTTATTATTTGGCTACCATTGTAAGAGTGCTGATTACTTCAGCTAATACATACAAATTAAAAAGGGAGAGGGAAGATAAGAAAGCCATGACTACGACTGAAACAGAGGAGACACTGCTGCTATTGCATTTGCTATCATTTTTGCATATGTTATCTATCACCATTGTTGTAATATTTTCCATTTATTTTCATATACGACAAGTATGAAAAGATAGGAAAATCGACAGGGACGATGGAGAATTTTGTGAAAATAGTGATGCCATTATAGAGAAAGGAGGCCCATGTGAACTCTTGTTAAATGAAGTGCTTTTCTTTATCTGTCCTTTTATCCAGCTGTTCACACAGATAATGACTTGAAAAATATTGGGATCATCTTTGGGTTTGTTTCTATCTTCAAAGTTATTAGCAGATAAGTTTTAAGTCTTGTTTCCAAAATATATATACCATTTTTTGTACTTTGTATTTATCTCTTGTAAAGATATCATTCTTATTTTTTAGAGAATCAAGCATCATTTTTTTATCATTATCTTAAATGCAGTCTTTTATGTTCTGTATATTAGTTCAATATTTTTTTGAAAAGTCAGATATTTTACAAAGTGTAAAAATATGTATATATTTTTGATCTTTAGGATGAATTTTTCATTTCTGATATAATGTTTTTTGTGATTTCTTTTAGGGGTGTGCCAAGGTTGTTCCTTGTATGTAATTTGTCAAGTATTTTAATCGTGAATCCAATCTCAAATACCTCTTATCTTCGTTAGATTCTGAATTGTCAGGAGTTGCACACTAGATTGTCCTATATATAATATTTTATACTTTTATACTTTTAGTTATCATTTCGGCCAACTGACGAAATATTTTGGCTTGTGCTAACGTTTTCCATTGAACAAGACAATCGTTGATGTCATGAATTAAGCATTAGAAAACGTTAGTTTGTGGACACTTCACCTGATCTAAACTTTAATGCACACAGCCTAAACCCTGTACTAAGTCATTTCTATGCTTATGGTTCTTGATTTTGGTCTGAAATTTACTGTATTTCTCTTCAATTCTATGATATGAGCTGTTTGAAATAGTTTTATATTTGAAGCTAGGTGCAGATGCAGATGTCATTTGTGATATCTATTTATGGCTTCTTGTTTTTAGATACATGTATTCTTTAGAATATCGTAATAGACTTACATGCACCACTAACATATGCATAACTTCATAGATTTTACTTCGCTTTTATCTTGACAATATGGATTTTCTTGCATTAGGTACACCAAAATAGGTTTTGCTGGCAATGTTGAACCAAGCTTTGTCATTCCTAGTGTTGTTGCTGTCAATGAATCTTTCTTGAATCAGTCAGAAGGTCGCAATATGGGAAATTATATAGCACAATACAATTCTGGAATAATGGCTGATCTCGACTTTTTTATTGGAGAAGAGGCTGTCTCAAAGTCTCGTGCTAGTGGAATTTACAATCTCAGTTATCCTATACAACACAGTAAGGTACATATTTATTGTTTATACTTTAAAAAAAAATAAGAATCTCATTATCACATGAGATGACATTTGGGCACAGCACGTGCTGTTACATGTGCTGATCATGTGCCCACAACTAGTATGCGGTCTTGGGCTCAGCTGAGCATCTTGCCCAGTACTGCAAATTGAGACATGGGACATCATGCTCTGCATGAACTTCCATGGCATCACTATAAAAAGTCGTGCTTTGAAATTAATATCTAATCACCTAGACTATGCTTGTGAATTAATAGTATGCTTGCAGGTTACAAACTGGGACACTATGGAAAAATTTTGGCAACAGTGTATCTATAATTACCTAAGTTGTGATCCTGAGGATCATTATTTTCTCTTGACGGAGAGCCCAATCACCTCTCCAGAAGATCGTGAATACATGGGAGAAATCATGTTTGAAACATTTAACGTCCCTGGAATGTATATAGCACTCCAGCCTGTCCTTGCCCTTTCTGCTGGGTGCTCAACCCCCAAGGTTAGTTGTGTATACACTGAAGATTTAAAGATGGGTTGAGTATAGTTTGATGTAGCATAAAATTTTCACTTCATATAATGTAAATAGATTTAGATAGTAAATTATGCTTCCATTTTGAAAATAGTTCCTTTTCCGTTATGTTTGTGGAAAGCTATTTCAGTTTCTCTGAACTTTGTCAGCACCATTGTGGGCGGTGGTACCCAATAACTTGTAATAGCTTGTTCCTTCTGCATGTTTATCTTTTTGTTATGATCATCTGTAAAATTGCATATGGACCATAATACTTGCACGGAGATCCATTCAACCATTTCCTCATGTTTGTTGACATCAAAGGTTTTCCATGCTTGTTAGTTTTTGAATTGCCTTCTTGAAGGCTCCTGGCATAAATTAGGCTGTGGCATCACTTGGCTGCCTCAAACTTTACCTCATGACAGTAGCATAATGAATCTTAGTCCTATTGGCTACTTTGAAAATTCTATATTCCTCGAGGATGAACTTGGTTCATCTTGTAGATTATTGGTGCTTTTTATAGAATGATAATGACTTTCTGCATTCTTTGTTGTACTACTTTCTTTTCTATCCTGCCTTCTCTGTCATTGTTCCCTGTGGCCAGACCTGTTTTATCTTGTGACTGTTCATTTGTGTCATGGAAAGCTTTTCCTCTATGATGCATTTTCAGTTTTATGGAACGTTACTATTTATTTATGAATTGTAGGTAGAAGTTTAGTCTGTCCTTGGAGATTATGATTTTATTGAGTTTGCAAGATTTTGAATTTTTTATGAAAGCCACTTGCCTACTGCATAGCTACATTATTTCCCAAGCAACCACTCTGCAAGGGTAGAAAGGGTGGTGTGCGTTGGCATTATACATTTCTGAAATATCATTTCAGTAAGTTTCTTGAAACCACTTGGACAGAATCCAAGACATCTCTGATGTTAACATTTAGATGACGACAAGTTAGGCTAACCCCATGATAAAAAATGAATCTCCATCCTAAAATCAGTCTTTGTTTGATAATGATGCTGAAGCACACTATCAAGAATGTATCGAGCTAGGAATACTTTATTCTGGGGATATCTTTTCATTGAAGTTTTGAACATTCTACCAAAGAAAGAAAGGAAAATACTGTTCAAGTGATTGATTATTGAATGACATATGAAGGTTCTGGAAGCAAAGAGCATGTCACCAGTGGTCGTTCACCATGTTATTGAACAAACTTTGTTTTGTTACTCAGAACATTTAAACTTCCTTGTCTTAGTTGCATATTTCCTATTGCTCATAATATTTCAAGTAACTTTTTACCATGCTGATCTAATATTCATAAAAAAAAACTTTTATGAATTTCAGATGCCTAAAGTCACTATATTTTCTTTAAGATGTATTGGTATATTTTCTCAGCCTCAAATGACAGGAGTTGTAGTTGACATCGGAGATGGAGCCACCCATGTTGTACCAGTTGTAGATGGCTACATTATTGGGAGTAGCATCAAATCTTTTCCAATTTCTGGCAGTGATATAACGCAGTTTGTTTTACAACTTCTGCGGGTATGAGACTCTTCACCACCATTTTGATCCGTAAGGTCATTATGGATAGTCTTGTTATAAGCATGCATGAAATTTTTAGGCTATCTGAGCATGCATGGATATACTGCTGCAACATGTACATCTGGGAATTTACGTCTTCACATAATGGCACTGGGTTATCATTTCTTTTTGCTCTCTTGTTTTATGGAGCTAGGGATATGGCCTCTCCTTTGTCATGGTTATTGAGTTAGAACGAGTCATATCTCATATTACTATTATTTCACAGTCTATAACATTTGTTGAACTCTTTTTTAATCTTATTGAATTTGAAAATCCATGATTAGCAAGAATTCCACATAGAAAGGATTTGATGTCAAATATCAATTCTATAATTGGTCAGAATTGTATTAATGGTTATTGCTGATAAACTGTTAAGTTTCTTATGCAACCTAGGTGTCACCAAAATGGTAAGAACTGATTTTTTATATCTTTAGTTTTGGTATTCTTAGTTGACCTGAGTATAAGACTTTACCATCTTGACTTGATTCTTTCTTTAGCTCACTTTCAAGCTTAGCTAGACCTCGTAGAGAACAACATTTTACAATATTCCAAAATATTGTCTATGTGGCTGCAGATGCCTCATCTATGTGGATATACAGGCACCGTGGAATTCAAAATCACACTGACCTATTCATGTCAACCATCTCCGGGTGTGAACTGGGACATAGACCACCCATTTTCGGGTCATCCAGTCCCCCTTCTTTTTAACCCTGCACTTAGGATTTTCTGAGTCTTCTCATCTTGTGCATGTCTCTGTTTCTTTTTTGTGAACTCAGAGACCTTCTGTGATGTTTTGCTGCTACTCAAAATTCTTATTAGAGACATTTTAGCACATAGGACCATGACATAGATTATCAATCATGTGAAGCACTTAAAAGAGCAGTTAGTGTCATCTAAGTTGGTGCTTTCTTTAACTACCTTAGTTCAATAATGGACTGTCGTTGAGCTTATTCTACTTTCTAATAATCTTAGAAAATGTAAGGCTGTATTCTCCTCATTTTTCAAACTAAGAGGCTCTTTAAGTATTGAAAGTGAATTTTGTGTAGCTCATGTCTTCGATTCGCTACTAGTTTTATGACGTATTGATTAACATGATTAAAATGGTAATCCAAGTAATCAATTCATAAGGTACATATTTCAAGCCTTAAGAGAACCACTTTAGAGTGATTTATTCTAGGAGTTGCTGAAATTTTTGGTCATGCTGGGATGATATTGGCATGGGGGTAACTGCCATGCTGAGTGTGTCAGCAGTCTTTTTTGCACATGTTCAAGTTATGCCAGTTGATATGGATCCCAGGCAAATTGTGCAAACCCATTACCAGCATGGTGAAAATTACTCATGCTTTGGACTTCACTGGAGAAAGATTTACCTGGGAATCTAACTTGATATTATTGCTATTGTAATATGTTTTATCCTAATATACTATATCAGTTAGTACACTATAGTATGACTTTGAAAAGAGATGCAGATGATACCAAGACAGAAACTAGTCATGTCGTGGCATATGATGTGTTAGATGAATTAAATGTTAAAATCGATCTACTTGGTTTCTTTTTTAAAGGAATTATCTACGAAATTTAATTTTAATGAAGTCACAGCTAAAAACTAACTAAATTATGGCTATGGATAATATACACCAGGAGTGAGAAGTTCAATGAGTCTCTCATAGTACCTAATCTCTGGATGGATTTATAAAACTACTCGTGCAATGTATAGTTTCCTGTCCTTGCTTTATTTGAATTTCAAATGAAGTAGAGTGAGCCAACCTAATCCTTCTGTCATAGATTAAAAGAGAGGTGGTGTCATAATATACTATCACGATTGGCTAAAACTTCAAATTTGGTATAGGAAAGGGGAGAGCTTATTCCACCTGAAGATTCTTTTGAAATAGCTCAGAAGGTGAAGGAAATGTACTGTTATAATTCATCAAGTATCATCAAGGTAACTTTCCCATTCCAAATTAGGATTTTATTTTATTTCCCTGTAAAATGTTCTTCTGGCATCTGTGCTGTTGTGATGATTGCTGCTTATCCTTGACTGATGAAATTTAAAGTACTAGCTGAAAGAATTTCTAATCATGTCATAGAGTTTGTCTCATCTTAGTTTTTTTTAAATATCTGATCATTTTCATCCTGAGACTCATGAGGAAAATACTATGAGGATTTCCAAATAAGTTGATGGATGTTATTTTAGAATGGTGATATATATCAGGTCAGCCAACTAAACTGTGATTTGTTCCATGTGAGAATCTGAATGTGACATGATACAGATTGTTTCAAAAGAAACATCATATTTTAGTGTCCTTGCAGTGAGAACATCTTATGTTTCTATAGGGTGCTTTTTAATGTCAACTTTGCTACTGTTCCCACAATTTCGAATGCTGTGCAATGACAGCCACGTTCTGTGCTCAGCGTCATATAACTAGGATTGCAAATCACCTTGATGTGTAGTCCTATCATGCTATGCAGCACAGTTTTTGGTTTTATATGATCCATGAGCATGTATTACATTCACAAATATGGATGTGGACTGACCTTGATTAACTTTGGTTGGACACTTTTAATAGTTTTCTGTTTCTATGTGATTCTGTACATTGCAAACATTGTGCATGCCATTATACAAGTACAAGCACTTATCTGGCCAGACTGGCAGGAACCTCGTGCATTGGGCTCAGCCTTCCATGTGTAGTTGCTGGCATGATTATATACCTGTAGAATTCTTATTAAGCATTTCTACTCAGAATACATCAACAAATGTTGAAAACAAAAGAAGATCAATGAGTACAATACGGTCTTCTATCACCTTTGTTCTTAGTATTAGTTGCACAAGTTCATCTTTTAGCTAGACCAAAATGTCTTAACTAATATAATAAAAAAATCTAAGTAATTCAATACATACAACAAACTAAAATAATGTATCAACTAACTCAAGCCCCATGCATAGCAAACTAAATTAAGTGGATGGTTGGTAACTTTTGGGGTTAGTTGAGGCTAAGCCAATCTTTGACTTAGCCTACACAACTCCTTTCAAGACTCAGACAGTATCTGTTTACCCTCATTTGGACCAGGATAACTTTGGGCAGCATTGGTGATTCACAAGAGTCGGGAGGACTTTGAAACCCAATTGGAGAAGAGAACATCTGCTTATCATATTTTGGGATAGCTATGGCTATTTGGAGAAGGAAAGATGATTATACATCAGCCTTACTTGGTTGGGAAGACAACTGCTTGATGATGATACAGAGAGGTCTCTCCTAAACCACACGGTGAGGGAAAGGCTTGTCCAACTAGGATAAGATCAGCCAGAACTACCTCCAGCAGGAGAGAATGTCGGGCATCAATCCCCAAAAGCCTTAAGGGGTTGGCCAAGACGGTTTGTTAGGAGGGTGCTCTGTTCAGTAGCGGTTTGTGACGCTGGTCCACAAATAAGTCACTGCTGGCTCCAAAGGCATGCTTACACTTTGGTTATCTGAGCTTCATCTCTTTGGTAACTTAGGTTTATCCTAATTTTAGTCTATTGGAGATTCCATTTTTCCTCAAAGAAGAGAAGCCCCATTCAGAAAAGGGTCTATTCCTAAAAAAACATATTTGATTTATCATGTAAGCAAGTGGTTAAAATTAGCCTAGTCATGGCTAATGTAGTCATAGTTCCAAAAGCTGATTTGGAAGTAACATTTGTATTGATCCCTCCATTATGAAAACACTTAAATATAAACTTCATCTTGAATTCTTGATTGTTTAGAAGTTTGAAATAGCTGTAGATGCAACATTTTTTTATTCTGTATTAGAGACTGTAAGGTTTATCTTCTTATCATAAAAGTCATATTTGTCATTTAGATATTTTCTCCTGTCATTTCACATATGATATCATCAACAAGTGGCATCCCTTGTTAGTATTTTTTGGACATTGAATAACTAATATGTTCCTTCATACTATTCCTTTATGAGCACACTTATAGTCGAAAAACATATGCATCTTTTTATAACTATTGCATGCAAATTTTCTAACCAAATATTTTGGTTATTTCAGGAGTATAGCAAATATGACAAAAAACCTGAGAAGTACATCAAGCAATGGACTGGTGTTAAACCAATGACTGGAGTGCCGTTTTCATTTGACATTGGTTATGAGCGCTTTCTTGGACCTGAGGTTGATTTTCATTCTGAATCCTGTTATACCAAGACTAACAGAACCTTTAGTGTATTAAAAGCGTGTATATTCTTTCTTTTTGAAATGGTTCCCATTCTCTTAAATAGGCTATTATTTGCATGCCATTATCTACAGTGCTAATTATCCATTTTAAAATTTAACCATAACGTTTGAAGGAAGTACACACAAATTTAACTTATTTAGACCTTCAAAAATCATTGTTCTAAACAATTCTTTCTAATTAGAATTATATTATATATTTTGAAGTAATAAAATTTTATATATGTCTATATATTTTCTTTATTGTTTTTGAACATATTGTTAAATACCTTGAAGTTGTTTTTTTCTTTACAACCTAATATAATATGCATATTGACAAGCAAAGCATTTTGTCAAAGATGCATGGCAACATGGAACTTCTTTGAAGGGCTCTGAAATCTAAAAAAATGTTCTCTCTATTCAGCAGTACCTAATCTTCTGTTTTTTTTTCAGAATATTTTGTTATCTGAAGATCCAGAGCTGTTAAAACATCATCTAATGCCCTTTAGCTGTTGATCTTTTCAGGAAACATGCTTAAACAATTAAACAGAACTGTTCACATCTGATTTATAGTATCTCTTTTACATGTCACTTGTTCTACTGCTTAAGCTGGTTAAAATCTGATCCAATAGAGCCATTTGTCAACTGTCAGCTGTTGAAACACTTCTTGCATTTGTTTCACTTTTAGCATGACACATGCTTTAAAGGCAAAAAATAGCATAATTACACTTAATAGTTAATACTTTAATAGTATGGTTTTAGATTTTGCATGGCACATATGTTAGTATTGTGCTGGAACAATGCATGTTGACCGGTATGGATTAGCATGTGGTTTGTGCTGACCAGTACCAGCACAATGATGGTCAGTTGTGGCCTGGCATGGACCACCATGTTGATGCTATGTCGAACACTCAAAGGTTGTGAAAAGGGGAAATTAGTTTCCATGCGATGCAACCATTTACCACTGATCAAGTCTAATTAGATTTAGTTTAGGGGTCAAGTCATGTTTGTTTCCAGTTATGTTTATGTTTCTGAGTCAAAATTAACAGGGTATAAATTTCGTATTTCTTAAGCATTTTCTTTAGATTTTTGGGGATAAATTAGTAAAGGCAGGTATTTGTTTACTGATTGATCAAACTTTGTTGTTTACTGATCAGATTTGGTTGTTAACCAATTAGATCTGATTGCAATCTATCCTCCAATTGACCTAAAATATGTGGCAATGGGCCTAATGGTGAAGAAAAAAAACTCAGGTTTGAGCATTTTTGAGAGCAAGTCTTATCTGTTATATATCTTAAGTACATCCTACTTTTCAGTGTTGTCTTTGCCACTAAAATCCTTTCCTTTCTTTGCCCTTCATTCTCTGTGGCTTGATAGGCATAGCTATTCGTTTCTCTAGAGAATTGTCGTGCTTCTAACTATCATCTTCCCTATCACAATCATCTACCTTCACTCCCTTTATAATTCTTTGTTCTACCATGTTTTACATTAATTTGGCAAGGAAACAGGATGCCACTTGTTCTAATATGATGGTATATCTTGCATCAAATCCTTGAATGTGCCTATTGTCAGGTTAAGATTCTTGGATGAATGGTTCCGTGATGACTTCCAGAACTGAGAAAGGATCTTGATCTTGTTGATTTTGATTCTCAACAGCACTCATTAATTGTTATAAAATCAACACTGGGTGCTTCAGGCTCTTTAAAAATGTCTACATCTTCTGATGCCTTTTAGTCTTCAGGTGCAGATGTAGTATGCTTAACATCTGCAGTAACCTTCTTCTGAGGATTAATAAGTGTAAAAAAGCAGAGAATGTTTTGAATCTTCTACAGTGGAGATTGGTTAGTCTAGCCATGACTTAGAATTTAAAGACACTTGGTTAGAAGGACACTAGTTACTGAAGGCCAATGATAGAAATAAACAATCTAAGACCTTCCAGTTAGATCATTAATCCGCCTTGCTTGATTGCAGACTTGGAAAAATAGGAATGAGTCTGTTTTGCAACTGGTCTTCATTGGTTTGTAAAGGTGCTATGGCTATAGGAAATTTATTTTGCTAAAGCCCTTCTAGGGAATGTTCTCATTGTAATGGTAAATGAGTGGTGGGATAGGAGTTACCTTCAATGAGATGAACTAAACTAAATACTAATGGGTCTTTCACAAGGTTTGAGATGTCCTATTCTAAGGAGAGTTGGTAGAGCCATTTTCTTCATGAGCAAGGATTTAAATACTGGTCTGGGACCAGTACTGTAACGTTTCAGATTACCACAGTGCCAATGTACCAGGTGGTTTACCGACCCTTTACCACCTAAGTACCATTGAACAAAATAATAAAAGAATAGTATCGAGCTGTACATGCCAACGCTCGTATCTGGTCAAATCGAGAATATTGATCGGTATATACCAGTCCAGATAGTATTTAAAACCTTTTCCATAGGTACTTTGCAAGGGAGGTTTTCTTCAGCTTTGGAGTTGGAGCCTCTCTGGTGCATTATTAATATTTTAAAAGGATCAATATTTTCTTTTTCTCCATGTTTTGAGGGAAGCCAGACAGATTGATTAGCTAACCTGGCTGTATAGTTTTGGTGCAGTTAACACTTCCCTGTAATTTGTTTAACAATTTGTGCACCGACAATTCTAGATCATTTTCTTGTTTCTAGATAATCTTATGTTTAATTTTAAAGAAATTGTAAGTGAGTCAGTTTTGTGGGAAGATAATTTCTTTAACATACTATGTAAACTTGCTAAACAATTGTGTTTGACCTCCAAATTAATCTTAAACACATGGAACATTTGGAGTTCAGGAGAGAATGACTCTTAAAGTAATTTGTGGGACAAGGCCATAAGGACAATGTGCAGTCCACTGTTGGAATTTGTTTGAGCTTTGAATTAAGATACTGATGAGCCTATCTCTTGAGGTAGATATGGCTTATATAAAAGATGATGATGGTATTCCAAAAGCTCCCAAACACATGTGCTACCTTTCGAGATGGATGATATGAAAATTGCTGATTATTGCTTCCAAATGAGGATTCTCAGATGTTTATGAGTAAGACGTTGGTGAAATAAAAGAAAAGCTCTAGATCTTTTTTTATGCTTGTTTATCACAAAGAACCATCATTGCGACAAAAAGAGCTGAAGCATCCAGATGGTATCAAAGGCTGCAGTTTTTCTTTATCAAGTATTCTAGAATGTTGCAGACAGCTTGGCAGTTATCAATCTCATGGTGCCTTCTTCCTTTACAGTTTGTCACTTGCATGGATGAACCCCATAGACTTAGTCAATGCTTTGATATTACTTTTGCTACTTGTATAACTCTGAAACGAGTTTGTAACTAAGTAAAAAAAACTTCATTTCTAGTTGGTTAATCATTTTTTTACTTATGTACTAGGATATCGGAATTCAAGGATATTAACTCTTTTGAAACCAACTTGTTTCTTGTTCTCATCTTTTGATTAAAGATATTTGATGCTATCTACTGTAGAGTTCTTTGTGAAACATCCAGATCTTCATGCAGGTGTTCTTTCATCCTGAAATCTGTGTTGATGATTTCAGAACTCCCTTACCTGATGTAATTGATATGTGTGTTCAGTCAGCACCAATCGACACTAGGAGGGGCTTATATAAGGTATTATCTAGTAATAACGTAGAACATACTTCAAGATACTTTATTAAGAAAAGTCATTAGATAGCAAGAAAACTTATGATATGATGAGTTGTATTCTTTTCTTATTAACTCTTACTTTTGGAACTGGTCTAAGAACGTAGTTTTATCTGGGGGATCAACCATGTTCAAAGGTTTACAGAAAAGATTGCAAATGGATTTAAAGAAGATAGTTGATGATCGAATTGCTGAATCCAATGCTCGCCTTGGTGGGGATGTCATAGTAAGTGTTGTTTTACTAAGATAACAGTTTCCTGTTCAAGTTATGACCATTTTACTTTTGTTCCCAGTCTCATCCTGTGGAGGTCAATGTTGTCAGTCACCCTGTCCAGAAGTTTGCAGTTTGGTTTGGAGGTTCTGTAGTTGCATCTCTACCTGAATTTCATGAGGTATAATTTTTATTTGAATTGTCCATCTTCGTCCATTTCTTTTCTCATATTGATAATTATGATTCTACAGTTGATTACTGATAAATGTTGGTTGTGGCATAATGGACTCAAAGAACGATCATGTAGACATGACAGAATGCAGTGTGATACATGCTTGCACAAATATGGAATATCTACTGAATAGCTTCAGTGAAATGTACTCATAACTGAATAAAAAAAATGCTTATGACATGATTGGATATGGATTTAACAATTCTATAGAGCAATTTTTTTTCTTGTGTAACAAAAGAACCAATAGCAAATTTAGTATGACCTGGTTTCTCCTTTGGAATTACTTTTAATGTATATAGTCTGGAATTGTCAGAACGAGAGATTGGTACCACTCAGCTATTTTTCTAACGGATAAGTCTAGATAGAGCCGAGAATTTCGTAATGTTGAATCTCTGGCTTACACAGGCTATGTGGGATCAGTGTTGTTTTGGACATGTCCGTGCACTATATAACATGATGTTAGATTTAATTCTGAATTATATTTTTGGGCGAAAGAATGTCAAAATTTTAATTAGCTATAGCAGACGGCAAGAGAGAATTTAGGTAGTAGATAATGAGTTTCCCTTTGGATCATGAGTTCAAGTTTGTGATTGGTCTGATCATTTAACCATATATTATTAATTAGGTGATATCTTTAATTGTTTGCAATTAGTTGACAAGTCTTATTGTCCCCAAATTAAGTTGACAGCATGCTTTTTTGCATTTAGGAAATTAAGTAGGTGACTTGTCTTAATTGATTAAAAAATTAGGTTGCAGCAACATGTCTTTTTATTGATCAGGAATAAATGCATTAAGCGTGGGCCATAAGTTAAATATGCGATGTATCTTATTATGGGCAAGTTAAGAAGGCTATGTTTTATTGTGGACCATAATTTTTTAGAGGAAGGGAGATCTTGGTACAAAAATAAGGTCTCTCCTTTGCAACATAGGTAATTAAGATTCAAGTCAAAGATGCAATCTCTCTAGATATAAGAGTAATGCATACATTGGTACTTCCTAGATTGTCATGCATTGGCTTCATTTTTTTTATAATTTTGAAAGAACACATGCTTTTCATATTCTGAATCACAACCTTCAATGCCATCTAATCACATGACTAGCATTTTTTTTTTCTTCAATAAATTAGCAAACTAATTGTGTGAACTTCTAATATGCCTAATATTATGAATGCACTAACTACTGCCAGATTACATAAAACACTACATATGAATTAGTTTAAACTTTTTTATAGACTTAATACAATGGAAGATACTAGGGATATTCCAGCATGATCCAGCCAATTTTATTCTGCAAACTCAGAAGTCAGGAGATTATATGCACTCAAGTAGCTACTTAAAACCCGAAGATCCAGTTTGAGTGATTGCCACAGAAGTGGGCCTGTTGTGTCCTCTATAACCTTCCGTCTCTGCTTAACTTGACTAAAACTTTGGGAGTTTAGGCCTGTGCTAGAAACTTATGGGTCTCATTCTACATGTTGAGCTGTCAGGTGATTCTTTCCCTGGGTTGAGAACATTATTAATGACCCATTGAATTGTCAATTCCTAGATCTTAAAGATATTATCATCTGATATATTATTCTTTGGAAGCTTTTAGAATATTTGTTAGTACATATATGAAGTTTCAACTATTGATTCTAGTTCCATATCCTGCTATATGGTACTGGTGAATTTACCAATTGCAAGTTAATTTTGTAGCAACAGATACCATTCTCTTTAAGATTCTTTTATTTGAATCGACCTTTCTTGTGCTGATCTTTCATCTTTTGGGTTATGCTCAATAAAATGTTCCTTTGCTTTGTCATCTGCGTGGTTATTGGAACTGTACTAAGCTAAACCTAGGTTATTCTTTTAAACTTCTTTTCAGTCTTGTCATACAAAAGAGGATTATGATGAATATGGAGCAAGCATATGCCGTACTAGTCCCATCTTTAAGGGGATGTATTGACATGTACAACTGTTGCTGATTTGAATATGTAACACATCTTCCAAACCGCAAGAAGCATTTCTGGGCTTTATTTAATCCAACTGTTTGGTTGCCCTGGTGATGTACAATAGATTCTGCGTGAAGCAGCATTGTAATGTCATCATTTGATTCATTTCTTAGATGTAGGCCACAGCTGTATAACATCTACTGGTAAGCTATTGCAAACATGATTCAGGTGGGATTATGATTTGTTACTCAGCTGCTCAAAAATTACAAAATGGGAATGGTGGCTAATAACAGATCATTTTATCAAAGACAAGCACAAGCAACAACTGGCACCATTGCACATACTGCTGATACTTCAGCATTGTTCCTGAGATATCGCAAGGCCTGCTTGGAGAAAATGCTATCAACTACAGTCCCAGTGATGATGGCTTGCATTACCAACACAAACTTATGCATCTCCTGGTTTGTAATCTATGTTCTTGAATATTTATTGACTGATCATGCTTGCTTTTGGACAGCATGGGATATTGAGAGTCTTATGTGTTGATTCTTTTATTATTCTTTCCCATTGTGAAGCTTGTTCAATTATGATATTGTATTTTGCTCACAGCAAAATGTTGTTATCAGGAATGTTACATCGGTTTTAGAGATCTGCAGGTGGTGATAATCTTCTGTAGCATCCTTCAAATGATTTTTCTACCGAGTTATGCCCTCTTGTTTATATAGTAAAACTAACTTTGTTGATTGCATATGAATGTGACTCGAGCATCAGCAGGTGATTCTGCACATCTGACTCATGCCAATTTTGGTCAATTAACAAGTTGACCTGTTTTGCTTGGTTTAGTGAATTGATATTAACTTGGTGGATGCTTATAGAAAAGAAACTACACCATTTCTGAGTTCTCATGATCGTGAGTAATTATTAGATCGATTATTAGAAAGTATGGTGAGTAATTATTAGATCGATTTTGCATGTGAACATTTCTGAGTTCTCATGATCGTGAGATTCATCAAAATCATTATTTTTGGTTCTTGAAATAAGCTCTTTTTATCATTTGATGAATTTTGGGAAGAATACAATGCACCTATTGCGCAAACTAGAGTAATAAATTATTTCCATAAGATTGTCGTCATGTACGATCAACGTATAATATCAACGTTGAACCTAATAACTGAACTATAGGTGATAATTATACGGTATTATAGCTTTGCGTCTTAGATCTGCAATTATCGGATTCGGGTTTTAGATTAAGAATCATCTGGATTGTACGAGTTTCGGATTCTGATTTAGATTTAAGAATCATCCGGATCATTGAGAATCGGGTCCCGGTGAAGGATCCGATATCCTAAATTCCAAGTCTCTCTTCGAAGACAGATCAGAAATCTCTCACCTTTCCCATGTCTATTTATATGTCACTCCCTCCCGTCCCCAATCATCCAAGTCTACGGTCCGATTCTTCTCCCGGTGATCGTAGTCGCCCGCCCGATCTCCGCTCTTCCGCACCAACCAGACATGCCGCTACCACTTCCTCCCTGTTCTCAGCAGTAGAAGGTCCTCAAACTACTAGACATGCCGCGACCACTTCCTCCCTGTTCTCAGCAGTAGAAGGTCCTCAAACTACAACTCCCTGCCATGGGGTGCTACGAGGTCGTCCTCTCTCTCTCTCTCTCTCTCTCTCTCTCTCTCTCTCTTATCTTCTTTTATGCAAGAGATCGTCCGGGTTTTTTAGGGTTTGTCCAATACGTAACTTTTCTATCGGTTAAAATATTATTTGTTAGAGATAATAGGCTAATAAAATTAATTATAAGGGTCAGGGATATAGCTTAAATGGTAGAGTGCTCGCTTAGCATGAGAAGTAAGGGGATATAGCTTAAATCAAGTTTTTGTTGTTGTTTGTTAGAGGTACTAGACTAATAAAGTTAAATCCTTAACCATGAAGAGGAGTGAATGTAACTTAGATGGTAGAGCATTTAATTAGTATGAGGATCAATACCCCGAGGATGTTGTTTGTTAGAGGTAATAGGCTAATAAAGTTAATCATTAACCATAAAGGGTACGGGATGTAGCTCAGATGGTAGAGCTGTATTATTTTTATGCAAGAGATCATCCGAGTTTTTTAGGAATATCGGTTAAAATATTATTTGGTAATAGGCTAATAAAGTTAATTTTTTACTATAAGATAGGGGATGTAGCTCAAATGGTAGAGCGCTTGCTTAGCATGCAAGAGGTATGGGGATCGATACCTCACATCTCCATCGGTAGAGCGCTCGTTTACAGTGCAAGAGGTAATAAATAGGCTAATAAAGTTAATACTTAACCATAAATGGTAGGGGATGTAACTCAAATGGTATCACTTAGATATGAGGATCGATACTTCCCATCTCCATCTTTTTTTTTTCATGCAAGAGATTGTCAGAGTTTTTTAAAATGTTGTTTGTTCGAGGTAATAAATAGGCTAATAAAGCTAATCCTTATCCATAAAGGGTAGGGGATGTAGCTCAAATGGTAGAGCGCTCGCTTAGCATGCGAGAGGTACGGGGATCGATACCCCGCATCTCCATCTTTTTCTTCATGCAAGAGATCGTCAAGGTTTTTTAGAATCTATCGGTTAAAATGTTGTTTGTTCGAGGTAATAAATGGGCTATTAAA